TCAAATAACCCCCAGGACCCGCACAACGTGAGGAGTCCCTCATCCAGCAGTGGGTGGACAAACGGGCTGTAGGTGTGGTGTACATTAAAGTAATTTAATCACCCAGGGAACAAAAAAAACCCTCAAACCGAGTCAACAGACGTCTCATTCAGGAGGGTCCTGCATTGGAACGTTTTGACCGATTCATGTTAAGAGTCGTGCCCGGAGCAAAACCTCTCTCGTACGAGGAGATAACTCGATGCAAAAAAATGTAATTGCTCACAGCGAGCTCATGCGACCTACTTGCTCTACTGCCCAGTTTGTGACAACCTCGCCGCTGCCTCGCGTGCACGTGGGGTCCGAGTGTTGGCGCAGCTGGGAGCGACAGGCGGCGCTCACCACCCAGACCAAGTCCGCGGTCATCGTCAGCAAGTTGCAGTGTCGACATCGCATCTCTACGATCCTTGTTATTACCGTCACCACCAGCAGTATCAGCGGCTGCTTCGTCATATGCATAATCACCGTCACCACCTCTTCGATCAAAACCTCGAGTACCAGCAGCAGCAGCAACATCAGCAGCAGCACCACCCATCATCGTCAGCATCGTACCATGCGATTGACGCATTCACGCGTCGCGCATTGGACACGCAACTGCACCTGGCAGCAGTGTTCCGTCGACAATTAAGCCGCCTGATCCCGTCGTCGAGTTGCAGGCGAGTTGCAGGCGAGTTGCAGGCGAGTTGCAGGCGAGTTGCAGGCGAGTTGCAGGCGAGTTGCAGGCGAGTTGCAGGCGAGTTGCAGGCGAGTTGCAGGCGAGTTGCAGGCGAGTTGCAGGCGAGTTTGCAGGCGAGTTGCAGGCGAGTTGCAGGCGAGTTTGCAGGCGAGTTGCAGGCGAGTTGCAGGCGAGTTGCAGGCGAGTTGCAGGCGAGTTGCAGGCGAGTTTGCAGGCGAGTTGCAGGCGAGTTGCAGGCGAGTTGCAGGCGAGTTTGCAGGCGAGTTGCAGGCGAGTTGCAGGCGAGTTGCAGGCGAGTTGCAGGCGAGTTGCAGGCGAGTTGCAGGCGAGTTGCAGGCGAGTTGCAGGCGAGTTGCAGGCGAGTTGCAGGCGAGTTGCAGGCGAGTTGCAGGCGAGTTGCAGGCGAGTTGCAGGCGAGTTGCAGGCGAGTTGCAGGCGAGTTGCAGGCGAGTTGCAGGCGAGTTGCAGGCGAGTTGCAGGCGAGTTGCAGGCGAGTTGCAGGCGAGTTGCAGGCGAGTTGCAGGCGAGTTGCAGGCGAGTTGCAGGCAAACGCGCACTGAGCCGGCACCGCTGAGCTCCTTGCGTTTGAGTCCCCAGGTTTCAGCCGCCCGTGACTTAAAGCGGCTTCCCAAGCGGAGCGAGTCCACGATGTCCTCACCCCCCCCCGCCTCACGTCACGGTCACTTTTGTTTCGCGATGTACTTGGCCAAATTACAGCTCTGGGGATGTTAAACATCAGCACCGCGGTGGTAAGATGTTAACTACCTCGCCTAGTATGGTCGTGGGTCCGATCCCGACGCCTGCTGTATATCGGAGTTTGCGTGCTCTCTCTCCCCGTGGTAACGTGGATTTTTATCCGGGTCCTCCGGTTCGTCCCCTCCACATCTAGAATCCTGCGTTTCGATTAATTGGCTTGGATATATTTCCGCAGAATGAGAAGCCACTTCGTTGGGCTATGGTTTGTAGCCAGGTCGCTTCTAGAAAAGGAAATATAACTGTGTAATTCAGTGGGCCTTCCATGGTAAAATAAAAGTTTTTTTTTAATATATATCCGACTGCAGACACGCGATGGACATACCTCTCTCGTATGCCAGGGCATGCTAGAAGGTGGCGCCATCTCGTGTAGATACGAGATCGTGAAAGGGACAATCAGACGTAGTTCTGACTTAATTTTACAGAGGCCATTCTACAGTTAAATTAAAATTAAGTTAATTTTGGTTGCCCAGTTGAGAACTCAAAAAGAGACGAGGATGGGTCTCGATTGCAAGGGTCAAGAGTCTGTCAGTAGGGGGCGATGGTTGCTGCTACTGCTCTGTGTGTGTGTCATCCCAATTGAGTAACACGTGGGACATTCTCGAATTTGGCAAAATAATCTGGACTCTGACCTCGGCAGACAGTCGCCTGGTCTTACGAATGAAGCCAGGGGATCTTTAACGTGCACTGTTGAAGCGGACGGCGAGAAGTTAGTATTACTGTACCGCGGTTATTACACCCGCAGTGACAACCTGGGAACACAAGGTGGTGCACTATCCGCTGCGATGAGAGTTCAAAGTGGGAAATCTCATGCGTCTACCTGCGGCTCCGGAGCCACGTGCCGCTCTTTAAGGACGGCTGTTTCGTGACCGTTGTTTATTAAGAACCACCGTCTCGTGTTAACGGGCATCGCGGCTCGTGAAATGTAGAGGGTTTGTGTTATCAACGTTAATATTGGTCGCGAAAGCCTACGTGTTAAACGTTAAAAAAGTCGACTTGTTATTTTGGTTGCCGACCTCCTGGATCATGGGAGTCCAGTTTACCATGGATATCCAGTTTATGAGTTTACCATGGATATCCAGTTTACCATGGAAATCCAGTTTACCAGTTTACCGTGAATATCCAGTTTACCATGGAAATCCAGTTTACCATGGATATCCAGTTTACCATGGAAATCCAATTTACCAGTTTACCATGGATATCCAGTTTACCATGGAAATCCAGTTTACCATGGCAATCCAGTTTACCATGAATATCCAGTTTACCATGGATATCCAGTTTACCATGGAAATCCAGTTTACCAGTTTACCATGAATATCCAGTTTACCATGGAAATCCAGTTTACCATGGATATCCAGTTTACCATGGAAATCCAATTTACCAGTTTACCATGGATATCCAGTTTACCATGGAAATCCAGTTTATCATGGAAATCCAGTTTACCATGGAATTCAAGTTTACCATGAATATGCAGTTTACCATGGATATCCAGTTTACCACGGAAATCCAGCTTACCATGAATATCCAGTTTACCATGGATATCCAGTTTACCATGGAAATCCAATTTACCAGTTTACCATGGATATCCAGTTTACCATGGAAATCCAGTTTACCATGGAAATCTAGTTTACCATGGATATCCAGTTTACCATGGAAATCCAATTTACCATGGAAATCCAATTTACCAGTTTACCATGGAAATCCAGTTTACCATGGAAATCCAGTTTACCATGGAAATCCAGTTTACCATGAATATGCAGTTTACCGTGGATATCCAGTTTACCACGGAAATCCAGTTTACCATGGATATCCAGTTTATCATGGAAATTCAGTTTACCATGGAAATCCAGTTTTCCATGAATATGCAGTTTACCATGGATATCCAGTTTACCACGGAAATCCAGCTTACCATGAATATCCAGTTTACCATGGATATCCAGTTTACCATGGAAATCCAATTTACCAGTTTACCATGGAAATCCAGTTTACCATGGAAATCCAGTTTACCATGGATATCCAGTTTACCACGGAAATCCAGTTTACCATGAATATCCAGTTTACCATGGATATTCCGTTTATCTTGGGCAGGGGTTGGCAACCTGCGGCTCTTGAAGGAACCACTTCTTTTTATCAAGAACCACCGTCTCGTATTGCGGCTCTTGAAATATTTGTTTACGGATTTCGAACAACAATGATGTCTCTTATTGTTGTTTCGTTTGTCGACCTGTGGCGCAATGACACCACGGTGACGAAATATCAGCTGGAGGAGTAAGAGGAAGAACAAAACCCGAAATGAATTGGCCAAACATCTCAATGCAGGATCCTCTTGAAAACAGTATTGAGACCCAGCGAGACCTTCCTGGGTAATACCATACTGGACGGGGGGGTGGTGGGGGCTCTCTTGAGCCCCCTCTAATGGAGGCCCTAACCCTCAGTAGCGGTGTGAGCGAGCAATTGCAGAGGCTGCGCTCCTTTTACACGTCACTCTTGTCACCGTTCGAGGAGGGCACATGTTCGTAGGCGATTGCCCTTTGCTCCGGCATAGGAGTTATCCATTCAACTCGCTTCACAGCACACGCATTGCACCTCTGGCGTCGCAGTCGACGTTTGTCGACGCGTGAAGCTGCGCCTGGGTGAATGCAATGCGTCAACGCGGCTCCTCCAGCCGCTCGTGTATCTGCCGAGCTGATGCAATTGACCCTACGGTGTTCACGCAAAAGGTAATACTGTACTAATTTGGAACACGAGAGGTGTTTTGGGTAAGACCAGCCACCACTTGACACAGCCAACTAGTCAGGGTTGTCACGTCAACATAACGTGGACAATTCGTCACTAGTACAGCACGCCGGTGTGTTGGAGAGCCAAGCCACAACATTTACAATTTACTAGTTGGCTTTGTCGGGTGGTGGCGGGGTCAACGACACAATTATATATTTACGCGATGGAACCCAAAAAAACAATATTATGGATGATATTGCTCGCGAAAGCCGACGTGTTGAACTAATTTGGAAGTGAATCGCTATCTAATTTTTGCTTATAATCTAACGATTAGTTTTATGCAAATGTCATCTCACGATCACGCGAGGAACCACAGGCGAGAAGCCGTAAGGCTGTCCAGCGGTGAGCCGGCGCCAACAATTGCTTTGCAGTTCTCTGCATGTTGAGATGTTTTCAAACAATTGTTGCGTGTTTGTCCGTGTGGGAGGAATCCGGGGCGACCGGGGAAATTCCGCGCAATGCGAGGGGACGCATGCTATCAGTCCACGCTTTGCTGTACCGCATTTCCCGCGGGAAGGGAGTCTTGCAAAATTGTGGCCCATCGACTAACCCTCGCTGCCTCCACAGTGCTGGATTCCAGGCCACCTGTACATCCACCATCGCTCGATCGTGCATTGAATCGCCAGGGGGAGAGGGAATGGGGGTGGGTGATCTGGAAGGGAAGGGGGGGGGGGGCAGAATCTCTCACACACACGCAACCGAGAGCAACCGAGAGCAATCGCAAGCAGACAAAAAAAACACATGTGGACTCGGAATCTTCCAACAACATCGATTGATGAAGTTTATTTGTTTCGTTCTGTATTTCGGCGCAGAAACAAACATCGCTCGGTCGTGGCTCGCGACGAAATTCTTTGGGCAGCTCCCACGCCTCGCAAGCGGCTGCTCAGAACAGCAGCGTAAGGGCACAGCAATGCGGCTTTGGTGTCGATTATTCGATATAAAAAAGTAAGTTCGTTTGATTTTTAATCAGAGCACGTGAAAAACAATGAATGATGCGGACACACGTTCTCGCTTTTCATCCCGTCGGTGATCAACCAGCATTCTAGGAAGGGTTAATAGCTAGGGTTATAAGTTTTGCAATGACCGATGTTCGGAAAACGTGGGTTTTTAAATGTGGCAGATTAGCAACGAGAAGAACACGTGACCATATTTCTGGGTAGCTCTTGTTTCACACCCAGGTGTGCTCTGAAAAGAGAGACTTTTTTTTATTTTAAATCTCTCTCAGCTGGTAAGAAATACAGGAAATTAAGTTGATGATGATGATGACGGCGAGTTATGGATGGAAGACTCATGCCTGGGAATACCGTGCGTGGTGGACTTTCTCCCGAGTTCTCTAGTTTCATCCCACACGGTGCCAAACTCCCAGAAGTGGAATTATCCAAATATCCCCAATGTAGGACCCTCCTGCTGAAAAACAGTCTCGAGACTTACTAGTTTCCCAGGGTAAATAAAAAGCATTGTTATCATATTTAAGAAGAAAAATCATAATTAATTGTATATGAAGGGGCATTTATGTAACTGAATTTCACTTATGAAGATATTTTAACTATCAATGGATCTTTCTTCAAAAGGAAGATGTTTGTCAGTGAAGAAACCAACGCTGTTCGAGAATGCCTTTGAAGGACGATATCTCTACGAAGGGATGACTGTCATGAAGGATCTCTATCAATGAATTTTTATCAAGAATGATCCCTCTATTGCATACTCTCTGTAACCAACACGTGTGTCTATTAACATATCTTAATATAAAGGGATTTATATCAATGGATATCTCACTGTGAAGAGATATCTTTGTTCTGAATGAAATAATCTATATCTTTGTAAGAGAAAGTATGTCTCTATTAAGTGGTACTTATCTATGAAATATCTACATAACCAATGTATATCTCCATCAAGTGAGATACCTCTCTTCCTGGCTCCACGATGGACGGTTTCTCTGTAAACAGATATCTCACTATCAAGGAATATCTCTCTATTCAGGCCGAGTTCAACATCGAAGAACATACATTTCTCCATCAAGGAATCTCTGCTGTGGAAACGCTACCAAGAGCGCTCTCTGTTCAGAATGATCTCCGTGGGAGTTTCCCTTGCCAATGAAGGAATCTCTCCATTAAGGACTCTGGATTTGGACAATGAACCTCAATGAGCGGTCCGACTCCCGTGACTCCGTCCCCACTCACCGCGAATCCCTCTGCTCACCCACTTCGCAAAGATCCGAGTGTCGCTGTGCCCCCCCTCCCACCACCCCCGACCCATCTAGGGCCCACACGACCTCCTTGCGAGGGCACGGGCTGCCCTCCACCATCAGCCAACAGGCGCGAGTGCCGACTAAAAAGCCCTACCTCTAACCCCATCTCGCTCAGCCGTGGCGGTGGCGATTCTAAAACAAACGGCGGGGGGTGGGGGGGAGCATCCAATACCCACCAGGCACGTAACGGTCAATCGATTCGTCGATTTAAAATCGATTGTTACGGCTCACGACGTGTGCGCATAGCCACGCGTGTCAGAAACGACGACCTTCGAATCACCCCGGACAGCCGCGAGGGATAAATGCGTGTGCCGCAGTGACAAGCAAGTGATTGTTGAATCGTCGTCTTAATTGTGGTGAATGTATCGAACCTGCCAGGAAGGGAATCATCGTTACACGCCTAATGCCCCACAAGCTGGCGGCGAAGCTCCTTGCGGGAGTTGGGCGAGACTGCAAGGGCAGGTGCCCGGGCACCTTGACCGTGAGACTGACGAGCAAACTGGCAGAAGGAAGAAAGCGATGGCCAGGTGTGCCGGCATTGTCCACGATGAACAATTTGAACTTTAACTTGGGTGCCTGCCCAGCCACCCTGAGGAGCTGCCCCTGAATGGAGGGCATATGGGGTTAAGAGGTGGGGGCACACGAGTATGGCCTGGGAGTGGGGGGTGGTGTGGATCAGTTTGGGGGGGGGGGGTATTGTCCTTTCAGAATCGCCACTCACCCGAAGCGAGTTGGGTGTCTAAACTTATCAATGTGCACCGACAAAGCTAAACGCATATAAATTCAAGTATCTCGACTCTTAAAGGCACTTTGTAAGACAACAATAACAACCGAGAATTGCGTGCGCGCGCGCAGCTCGACACGCGGACACGTGGCACGTGACGACCGACCACCGGAAACGCGAGCACGTGGTGCGCAAAGCACGCGGGCACGTGACGCACGGAAACGGGTCACAATGCGAGCACGTGCACTTTGATTGAAATGCTTTGGGGAGTGAAACTCGACGCTGCGGCGCTTCGGAGTAACGCCGAAAGTAAAGCTCACGCTGCTTTTGTAGTGTGGCTCGGCAAAACGCCGCGTGCCGTTTGTTTCTTCCGTTACATTTGTGGGAAATAAAAAATAATACTATTGAAACAAAAAAAAACCCAAATACTATAACTAAAGATGATATGAAATATTTAAAGACGTGTGACAAATAAGTGGACAAAAAGTGTAATTAAAGAAGCCGCGGCCCATAACAAACAGCTCTCAGACAATGGATGTGGGATGGATGCGTCGAGATAGCGCTGCTAAGACAGCTCCCTATTACCGACTTTTCCAGACGATAAGACGCACGTATTTCAAAGCAACGTTGGGGTGCATCTTCAAATCCGGTGTGCGTGCGGGAACCAGAGTTGGTTCATTGACACCGAGCAGTCGTTTTGTGGCGCTTCTTAACTTTAGCGGAGCGTCTCATAATCTGGAAAAATGCGGCCGTTCAAAGTCATGGTCCTGATGACACCACAACGTTACCCACGTGCGCTTGAACACGTCCGTCGAGCGACGTGACGCAAGACCCTAACTTGAACATCGCTTTTTTTTTTGGGTCTTCCGTCATTAAAACGCAACGTCAACGGTGTTTGACACGCAGCCTAAAGTGTGCATCTACCAGAGCTGTTTGTCGTCTGAGTCTTCCTTTCAGAAAGTGTAAGCATTTTGTCACGCGACGCGTGGGGTAAGACGGCGGGGGGAGAGCCGGGGTTATTGCGGGGCCCTTTGGTTCGAGTTCTCTCTTCTCTTGGGAGAACTTTCAAGAATCTTCTTTCGCTTCGTGTCGCCGAGCGACTTCTGCTCGCTCAAGTTTGCATCCCGAGACAGGCGCGCCGCTGCCCTCGACTCGCCAAGGACTCGGCAATTGTCTGGGGTTAGGGTCGGACCCCCCCCGCACCCTCCAAGGGAGGGGGGGCGGCCTGGGGGCCCACAACCTCACTCCAAGTAACGCGGGACCCCTCCGCTGTAAGGACCCTGTACCCCCTGTGCCGCGAATGTGGAGTAGCGAGACCCATCGCGATGTCCCACTTTCCACAACAGCACTCCGTTACGAGCTCACCCAGCTCCTATTCAGCATCCATCATGTCCGATTAGTGCGGTAGGCTACGTGCGGTGCGAAAGAAGTTCAACATACATAACATATGCCCTTCGAGTCACGTTTGGTGATCACGATCACTTGCGTACAATTGCACGCATGTTGCCTGCGACGCCATGCGGATCTGAAACATGGACACGTTGACAAAGTAAATGGGACCAAGGGTGAGAAGTGCGCACAGAAGCATGGCGGGGTTGGAATGCTGGGAAATAAGAGACAGGAAGAGGGCCACGTGACGCAGAGCAGCAATCGCATGGACTCTGAGAGATGTTAACTCCCTCGCCTGGTATGCAGGAGGTCGTGGGTTTCATCCCAACCCTGACGCCTGTATAATTAGAAGTTTGCATGTTAATCTCCCGGCGGTTGCGTGGATTTTCTCCGGGTCCTCCGGGGTTTCCCTCCACGTTTTGAGTATTTGGCCGCTATAAATTTCCACGTGATAAGCCGCTTCGCTGAGCTATCATTTGTTTTTTTTTGCAGGTCGCTTCAGAAAAAGAGCTGCATAGCTCGGGGAGGCTTACCTGCTAAAAAATAAAAATTCTAGCAGTCGAGGTCAATGAGGGTTTTGGGAAGGCCACCTGCTCGTGTGCCATGGAGGGACGACCATGGCACGATGTGCAGGATGAGCATGGGGACACGGAGTGGCAGCCACGGGAGCGGGCGCGCCTCGCGAGACAGGGAGCGAGTAGCGCGGCGTCGGGGTGGGGGGGGGGGTGCTGAGCGTCACCCTCGCGTGCCGGAGCGCGACATCGTCATGCTGGATTTCACACCGGGACGTGGAGTGACTGGCCTCCGCCATACTCATGTGGAGTTTCCACCACCGGCCTCACGGTTGTGAACGGAGGCGAGCGTGGTGCGAGCGTGGGGGTACAGATTACAGTGGGGCTGATGACATGGGCAGGGAATGTTTTCATTCGGGGGGGCCAGCGCGCGATCTAAGCTTCAAAAGCGGGGGTGCAACAATCATCGATGTATCGACCACCATCGCTTCTTCAGCTCAAGCTAGGGACGCGTCGAACGTCTAACAAGTCGTCGAAGCGAATGCCGACGATTCGTTGAATGGCGAGATGCGGCGAACGTGTTTGAGGGTGAGCGGAACAGAACTCGCCAGCTCGCTACGGAACGTTCGTTCCACTCAGGGCAGGCTGCACGTGCGTGCGCGCGCACACAACAATGTGTATTTGCCGAACGAACAGCACGCAGGCGAATCATGAAACCGACTCGGCTGAGGACAGAGTGAGTATCCCAACAAAAAAAAAGGAGGAAGCTTGCGAAGGCTAAAACCGTGCGCGTCTCCGCGCGCCGAATGCAATTGCGTCTTCCTACGCAGGCCGACTATTTACTCTATCGCGGTTGCTGAGCGCAGTCCAAAAAAAAAGCACAAAACGCCAAGCGACCAGCAACAAAAGCACTATTAAAGATGTAATAGATACGAGCTTATCCACAAACCACCTTCGTTCGCTGCTGCTGCTGCGTATTGATAAAGAACGCCACTCAAACATCGCACGACTTTCTCTGGAATGTCAAGTAAGGATCTGCCGCACGCGATGGTTGTGGTAGTGGTGACGATGACAATAAAGGGGGGAGGAAGATCAGAGAAGCTGGCAAGGCACGGGATGACTCAGTGGCCGTCTCCCGCCCTCACAGGCTGCCTCCATCCCGCCACCCTTCCCCTCCTGCGCCTAACCTCGGCTCCGTCCAACTCCAGCGTGACGAACCCTGGCGAGGCTGGCCCAAGTACGAATGTCCTGGGAACGTTCTATATCCAGAGCTGCGAGTGACAGCTTTGATGAGTTTAGCGGTCGCGCTCTCATCACCACCACCACCACCAACACAACCAATATCAGCAGCAGCACCACCACTAAACAGCCACCAACAACAGTCGCCACGAAGCGGCCGTGACATCACCACGGCTCCTGTGCCAGGCTAGGTGCACGTAGAGGCCACGTTAAGTGTGGAAGACTCGTTGCTGGCAGGTCACGGGACAGACCCGGGTGTTATGGGTTGACTGCTCCGCTCGTTGTTTTGATCGTGGCTCCTCTGCCATCCGTTGTTGTTCAAGGGCGACTTCTCACGACCACCAACGTCACCAACACCACCACTATCACCACCACTATCACCACCACTACTACTGCCATCAGTTACCAATATCCACACAATCAGCATCATCACCACTTACACCCCACAAGCATCACGACAGTACCGGTACTACCATCACCACATCAGCACCACCACCAAAATCATTTTCGCCACCACGAAACTTGGAAACACCATAGCCAACAACAATACCATCACCACGACCCTAGAGAGGGAGGAGCACATCGGAAGCTCATTCCTCAGTCGGGGGGGGGGGGGGGGGCCGGGGTGTGGGGGGTGTTGGGGGAGGAGGGGGTGGAGGCGTTGAGAGGCCACCGGCTTGCGGTGGACGGGTGAAAACAAATCTACATTTATACCGAAACCAACTTCTTAATCAGCTCCGAACCCCGCCGCACCCCCCCCACCACCACCCCTTCTAAAATCCTCAGCATTAAGTAGAAGGCAAGACTCAGACTCATCCAGGGTGCTGCGTGTGTTTGGGGAAGGTGGGGTGGGTGGGGGGCAGGCGATAGTCGGAGAGGAGAGGCTGGGGAGGGAGAGCTGTCGAGAGCAGTGGAGGGGTTAGGGGTGGGGGGAGAGAGATGGTTACACCGGTCCCCTCCACCACCCGTCACCCTCAAGCGCAGCAACCCCCCCCCCCCCTCGACTTAAATCCACACCGAGCCCTGCTTGTCCCCCCCGGCTGCCGTCTTGACGCAGCCGTTGGCCGCCACGGCGCCTCCTCCTCCTCCTCCTGCGGTGGCGGCTGCTGCTGCTGCAGCGGCCTGCTGCGCCTGCTGCTGCTCGTAGGCCATGTTGACCCGGTTCTGCGCCGCCGCAGCCGCGCTGTTGTTTGACCCCGCGGGGGAACTGGGCCGGGAGGAGGAGGAGTTTGCCGACGGGTGGAACCCCCCCCGTCCTGCCGCCTCTCCCGGACACGGGGGCGGTGCGGCCGGCGACGAAGGTGGCAACGCCGTTGCGGCCGCCGCCGCCGGACCGACGTCTCCGGCGGGCGTCGTCGTGCGCGCCGGGCCGCAACTCGCGTCGTCCGTGGCCGCCGCCCGCTGCCTCTCCATGCTCACGGGGAAGACGCCCTGCGGCACGCTGGCCACGATCGAGCGACTGCCGTCGGGCACCTTGGAGGGGAACTGCGCCGCCGCCGCCGCGTGCAGGGAGTCGTAGACGGGCGGAGCGTGCGGCGCCTGCCGCGGGTAGTGCTGGTTGTAGCAAGGCGCTGGGCTCAGGGGGAACGGCTGCTCCTGCTGCTGTTGCTGCTGCTGTTGCTGCTGTTGTTGCTGTTGCTGCGGTGGCGGCTGGTGCTTCTGCTGGTGCTGCTGCTGCTGCTGCTGGTAGAAGGACTGCTGCTGCTGCCGCAGGGCCAACTGCTGGCGCTCTTCCTCCTCCTGCTGATGCTCCTTCTTGCCGCGCAGGATGTCTCGGATGGAGCCGAGGCCCAGGTGCAGTATCTCCCAGAAGTTGAGCAGGAGGCAGAAGCTGACGGAGGAGTACATGATGAGCAGGAAGGTGGTCTTCTCGGTGGGGCGCGACACGTAGCAGTCGACGCGGTGCGGGCAGGGGTAGCGCGTGCACTCGAAGCGCGCCGTGACCGCGAAGCCGTACATGACGTACTGCCCGAAGAGGAATGCCACTTCGAAGACGGTGCGCATGAGCAGCTGCACCACGTACATCTTCATCAGCCCCTCCCGGTGGATCCTCCTGCGCCCATCGTGCCTCGAGGGCGGCGGCGACTCCTCCTTGCCCCCCTTGGCGGAGGCCTTGGGCGCGTCCTCGTCGGCCACCTCGACGATCATGGGGTCCTCCTCGTGGTCGCCCTCCGTCTCCTCGACGTGGCGGTGCTGAGCCCGATGGGTGGCCGTCGCCGGTCGGCTCTTGCTCCTTGGCGCGACGCTCCCCCGGGCTTCTTCCGCCCGGCTCAGGCGGTGCATGGCGTAGCCGAGGTAGACGACGGACGGCACGGCGACGACGATGGTCTGGAAGACCCAGAAGCGGACGTGCGACAGGGGCGCGAACCTATCGTAGCAGACGTTCTCGCAGCCCGGCTGCTGCGTGTTGCACACGAAGGCGCTCTGCTCGTCGTAGTAGATGGTCTCGCCGCCCACGCACGTGAGGATGATGCGAAACATGAGGAAGGCGGTGAACCAAATCTTGCCCACGTAGGTCGAGTGGTTGCTGATCTCGTCAAGGAGACGCGTTAGGAAGCCCCAGCTCATTGTGGCGCTGTTTCACGCGGCACTGTGCAGAGGGAGGGAGGGAGGGAGCGAGGAGAGAGATGTGTAATGTGATTGTCAGTCAGCTGTTTAACTCATTAATCAATCACTGGATCGATCCATCAAATCATCACGCCTTTTGGCGTCCTCTGGTCGAGCACCAATTGGGTCGAGGCTCAAAAGAAAGCCGTCCCTTGGTGTGGACCAATCAGTTTCAAGGACAATGCGTCATATATTATCATAGTATGTTTTTTGTTTGCATTTTGACTGCAGGTATTGCAGTAACATGAATCCTTGTAAAAAGGTCTCAGTTTTGTTGCCAGAAAAAGGGGAAAAACCCTATGATAAATCATCAATATATTAATAAAACAATTAATCCATCATTGAGTGCATCACCAGTCAATGCATCAATGCAAAGTATAACGGAATTAATCCGCCAATCAATTAATCGATCAATGTACCAATCAATGAAGCAATACATCCATCAATAAGAAGTTCAACATAATACATACGCCTATCCATTTCAACCCAATATTGCACAAATACTCAACATTCATCAATAACACCGTGGCCTTAAAAGGAGACGCACATTATAGGCGACGTTTCGAGCAATGGCCCTTCATCAGAGCCGTCCCTCGGGTACGGCGAGTCGGGGCGACCGCCCCGGGCCCCGTGCTTGGGGGGGGGGGGCTCGCTTGGACGCCACGGTGTCAGATGCAATGCTGCCGGTTTAGTTTCAAGGCGTTGGGGGGCCCACACAGTGAGAGACGTGAGCGGCTGTGCCCTACATAGCACTTAAAACCAAGCGTTCTTGTTGTTGCTATGTGTGCGTGTGTGCACCACTGCCAAATGCAGTAGCATTCTCAAAAACAATAATTAGCTTCGAATAATTTCAACGAGGGATAAACGACGCCCATCGTGAGGACAAAAAAAAAGAAACCGGGGAGACGGAAGTGACTGGGCGCCAGCACAGTTCCCGGAACGACGTTCCGGACCATTCCGGACCGTGATGAAGGCCGACCAAAGCGCGATTCGAGCGCTTCGGTTCAGCTATCGGCGGCAAGACAAGCAAATATCTCGGGAGACATCGCTCAGACGCGAGACAAACAAGAGTAGGAAATGATTTTGGCATCGCGCAAAGGAAGGACTAATGAGGGTGTAACATCATCAGACTTCATTAAAAGGCCGATTTTGTAAAGTGACAACAGCCCCTTTTAACTTAAAAATAAAATACATCCCGGGGGGGGGGGGTCTTCAATTTAGAAACCCACAAATGTTGTTGTTGGTTACAGAGTTGGGATGTGCGCCAATGTCATCAGAGAGCGTAACTTCGTTCCACACGCACACAAATTCAATGCAAAACAGAGAGAAAACCACCGTATAAGAATCAAACCGACTGCTGGGCCAAGTGCTGTTCGCAAGCCGGCAGGGCCGCCGTAAGGTTCGTGGCGTGTGACTAGCACCATACCCGGCCGCCTTTGTTTCCCCCAATGCTGATGTATTACACGCCGCAGCATCGAGTCATTTCATCTTGAGTCGACCTCGGGAAGAGGGACAGGAGCTGCCCTGATATTCATCGTCGATGTTGGGCGCGAGCGAGAATATAATTCGGATCGCCGGTGTCGTAGCGCAGCTCGCTAACCACTACAGTAACACTACCCCAACACACAAAGGTCCCCATGTAGCCTTTAACAGACTGTGAGGGCAAGTGCTTTTAGCGAACACCTATGAAGGCCGGCACGGCACACGACCGGGTGGGTGGCCAACACCACGCCCGGCCGCCTTTGTCTCCCCAGTGTTGATGTTCAAATACCACACCAGATACTCCATTTGAGGCCGAGTAGACCTAGAGGAGGCCCAGGACCGGTTCAGATAATCGTAGCCCAGCGCACTAGCCACTAGGCTACCACTCCCCCCAACGCACCCAGGTGTACGCACACTCACACGTGTACGCGCACACGCACGTGTACGCACACACACATGTACACACACACACACGTGTACACACACACACACGTGTTCGCGCACACGCACCCCGACACGCGTGCCGTCCACGCGTTCCCTCTACACAGGCACGCGCGCGCCGGACGCAATTTGTCTTCATGCCACACACACACAGGTCGGGACAACCGCCTTGAACCCGGCCTTTTACAGAGCACGTCGCGCGCTGGCGATGCCTTTATAAAGAGCAAAGTTGACATTCGGGGGGGAGTGGTGGTGGGAGGATAGGGGGAGGGAGGGCAAGGTGAATGGACTTTCATGGACATGTGTTTTGAAGGTCCCGTTATTACAACTGGACATTGTTTGTAATCCCTGTGAAATTTGCGAGACTAATCGCCCGCGTCACCGACCGCGGTTGTCAGCTCTATTTAACAACAACACCTAATTTATCAGCTCGCACGCGTGCCGTCCACCGGCTACATCCGCTAGAGGAGGGACTTTGTTAAGGGCGAAGGGGGGTTCATTATATACATTTCAACAGGAATTTATAGCAATCCGCGAATGTTATGGTTATATCCGACATGATCGTCGGGTATGTGCGAGCCGGCGCGTGGCACCGGCATTACCCCGGTGACGTCCCCGAGGCCACACGAGGTCTCGATGGTGTCAGATGAACGATTGCGTCGCTCCGCAAGGTTAAGAGGTCACTGAGGCTAATGCTTTTGGTGCCACCGCAGCGCGCCATCGCTACTGGGTTTTTTTTGCTGCTGCTGCTGGTTATTGTTGTTTTGCAAAGTCCGCAGGCGACTGCCGAGCCGTTTCTGCGCTGCGTCACGTCTCGTTTAATAATAAAAAAAAAACTCGCGTGAAGACAACGAATCGTGGCCGCTCGTTACCCAGAAGAAATTCGCACCGAATATCAGGACTCTCTTTTTTCTCTCTTTCTTTCTTTCTTCCTTTCAGGAGAGTCATGCAATTAGGGGTGTTTGGCCAGTTGCAATCACGTGTCGCTTTTGGTTCCCTCTGGGAGGAAACCGCAGAAAACCGGGAGAAACCTCAGCACGCAACAACTCAACATTCCGCACGGATCCGTTTACAGAATCCGTTGATCTGATCTGCCCATCTTCTGACGACCGTATTCCCAGTCTGCAACACGTGGCGTTGCCAGACGGTCTCCCATCCAAGTGCTAACCTGTGAACAACAATCCCGATTATCTTTCGATATCGGACGACACGGGGCCGGATTCTTCGCGGCCGTTGTGCGGTGGCTGGCTTCGATGGCGGTCTTGAAGCAGAAGTGGGCATTCAACGGTACTGGCTTATGTTTACACAGAATACGAGGTACAAATTTTAGGCCAAGTGGACCTAGAGGAGATCCAGGATCCGTTAAGTCATGTGCCACTGATGATGGCTGTGAAATTAAATCGAACTCAGATGACACAATTCGTTCGCGCAGTGCGCTAATCACTACACGATCGCACCCCGCTCACCCATCAACCCACTCACACAAACAACAACCGCCATTCGCCACTAATTGGCGGTGACGTCACCACAACGCTTGTGCAGGGCGATGTGCATGTTGAGGCCACGTGAAGTGTCGAACGCCCGCTGACAGGGGGTCACGGGGCAGTCCCCGGTGCTACGGGTCGACTGACTGAGACGACTGAGATGACTGGCTGATGCACCACCTGTGCCCCCTACTGTGTCAACTTGCTGTGCTTTAGCCACCCGGCGCTCCGCTCGTTGTTGTTAGCGTCGCTCCTCCGCCCTCCGTTGTTGTTGGAGGGCGACTGCCTCTATCTGCCCAGTAGCGTCCTTCACGAGCCTCCTCCACAGAGGCCGATCTGGTACCAGTCATTGGCACAAACACACACTCACCCACACTCATTTTGCACACACATACACTCACCCACTCATATACACACGCACTAACAACGCTCAAACACTCATTCCATATTACCCTCACCCACTTACTCCGTCACATCCCAAACACTTAACTACTCACCCTCTCACACTCACCTTCTCACCCCGCCATCACCTGCACCCACTCATCCCCTCTACCACTCATGTATCCCAGCCCCGGTTTAAAAAATATAATGCAACAAAAAATAAATATTTACGAGTACAAGGGGTCTGCAAATGTTATTTGCACACGTGCGCTCTGTTAGTCTTTGGGTGGCTGTTCTATATACTCGTCTGTGAGTCTGCGAATAAGTGCTTGCATTTGTTACGTGTGTGTATGTGCTATGCGTGTATGTGCTTGTGTGTCTGTGGGGAGCGGTGGTGTAGTGGTTAGTGCACTGCGCTACGAACCTGGCGACCCGGGTTCGATTCCCGCTCACGGCCAACACCAGTGACGATTATCTGGGCCTCCCCGAGGTCGACTCAGCCTCAAATGAGTATCTGGTGCAGTATGTAAACATCGCCACTGGGGAGACAAAGGCGGTCGGACGTGGTGCTGGCCACCCACCCCCTCGTGTACCGTTCCAGCCTTCATAGGTGCTCGCTAACAGCACTTGCCCCGACAGTCTGTTAATGCAATCGGGGTATCTTCACTAACTATTTTATTTTATTTGACCAGGTAAGGTCCGCTCAGTTATATCGCTATTTTTCAGAAGCGACTTGGCCACAAACGATAGCTCAACCAAGTGGATATGCATCGTAGCCAAAGAATCAATCTAAAATGCATGTTTACAAGTGTTTTGGGGAAAAAACGGAGGACCCGGAGAAAAATCCACACGACCACGCGGAGAGAGGAACACGAAAGCAGGCGTCAGCGTCGGGATCGAACCCACGATCTCCTGCATACCAGGCGAGGGAGTTAACATCTCGCCACTGCTGCGCCCCCCTCCTTTGACCCAGGAGGGCTGATCCAGCGGTCAGCGCAGAGCGCTGTGACCTTGGCCACGCGTGTTCGATTCCCGCCTCGCGAATAATAACAGCAGCGGACGCGCATGTACGTTGGACTTCTTTCGCGCCGTACGTAGCCGACCGTACTAAACGGAGGTGCGCGGGAGGCAAAGACAACATTTTGGTCGTGGAGTCCGAAGTCGCCCCAACTCCCTTCACGCCCTTCTCCCCTGG